GTGCGGGCTCAGCAGGACGCGCCAGCCGAGGTGCCTCAGCCAGGACTTGCACGGCTGGGCCCCGGGCTGCCGACAACCCGGCCTGGGATGGGGACGAGAGTCCCGCGGGGCGGGTTTGTTAATCCTGCTCTGAAACATCCACCCCTCAGGGATCCCAGAGCACCGCTGGGCCCTCGCGTGGAGAACGGGTCCATCGCTCGGCAGCAAGCGCCTCATTCGCCTGAGTCCTCCTCTCTCGCCCTCCCCGCCACACAGCTTACATCACATGAGCCCTGTGACTGGGGGTGGGGTGGAACTCAGCATCCCATCAAATTAGAAGTGTGTGTGTGTGTGTAGAGGGGGGGAGGAGGTATGTTAGGAAAAGACAGGAGAGAATCTGTCTCGGCTTGACAAAGCCCTGGTTGGGTTGATTTAATTGGGATTGGTCCTGCCTTGGGCAGGGGGCTGGACTTGATGACTCCTGAGATCTCTTCCAGCTCTAGGATTCTATGATTTTTACCGGCAAGAGAGAACTGAGGAGGAGAAAGTAAAACAGAGAGAAATGCACGGAGGATGGCTCCTAAAAACAACTCCTTCCGACCCGGGTTGCTGTGTCCATCCCTGCCAACACCTGCAGACAGACAGACTGGCTGGTGAGCATAGAGAACTCTTGGCCATTCTGTTTATCTTCCCCAAACCTGAAGAAGAGCTCTGTGAAACTTCAAAGCTTGGCTCTTCCCACCAAGACAAATTGGTCCAACTAAAGATATTAACTCATCCATCTTGTCTATCTATCCCTCCATCCCCACACACCCACCCTATCTATCTATCTATCTGTCTGTCTGTCTGTCTGTCTGTCTGTCCCCGTACACTCCATCTATCTGTCTGTCTGTAGTTTGGCAGTCTCAGCCTGGCTCGTGCTGCGATGTCCAAAACACCATGTCCCTGAGTAGAAACCTGCCCTCCGTTCCCACCCCACCCCCTTCCAGAAAAGAGGGCCCCCTTCCCGCGGCAGCTGTGTACCTCAGACCCAGTTGTTGCCGCTCTGTTTCAGTGGGGTGGGGGTGGGGGGGTCGGCAGGATCAGGGCCTGAGGTTACGGAGTCAGTTGACAGGGAGGAAGCAATCGTGGGCTCACTCAGTGTTGCAGCCCGGGGGTTACCTGCTCGTCCAGACCCCATTTCTGCCTCTTGTTCCTTGAGTGCCACTCGGTCGGACTCTTCACACTTCTGGTAAACATGGCCTGAAGCCATTGCTCCGCCGTCTCCTTGCCAGCTCCGTTCCGGTGGGTTTTATAGCCTCGGGCCAGCTTTTCTTGAAAAGGAAATGCCTAATGAACACACCCACTCACCCTTCCTCTCCTCAGAACTGCCAAGGTCTGAGTTCCTGTCGCTTCGCCCCCACCGCCGGCAGCCTCGGACAACCAGCGTTCCTGGAAAAATGGGCCAGAGTTAGTCTGTAGCTGTAAAAACATATGGTCCTGTGGCATCTGAGAGACGACAGCCAGGCTGTGTCTAGACTGGCCAGTTTTTCCGGAAAATCAGCCGCTTTTCTGGAAAAACTTGCCAGCTGTCTACACTGGCCACTTGAATTTCCACAAAAGCACTGACTTCCTACTGTAAGAAATCAGTGCTTTTTGCGGAAATACTATGCTGCTCCCGTTCGGGCAAAAGTCCCTTTTGTGCAAAACTTTTGCGCAAAAGGGCCAGTGTAGACAGCTGAGATTTGTTTTGCGCAAAAAAGCCCCGATCGCGAAAATGGCGATCGGGGCTTTTTTGTGGAAAAACTCGTCTAGATTGGCCACAGACGCTTTTCCGCAAAAAGTGCTTTTGTGGAAAAGTGTCCATGCCAATCTAGATGCTCTTTTCCAAAAATTCTTTTAACGAAAAACTTCCGTTAAAAGCATTTCCGAAAAATCATGCCAGTCTAGATGTAGCCCCAGTGTATTAGATCATGAGCTTTCATGGGTAAAACCCACTTCATCCAAGGAGTCGGAGCCTGGAAAAGTGGGAGGGGGTACAGTCCTCCTCACCCCCAAACAGTGACTCTGGGGTAACAGGGATGGATATCAAAAGTCTGCAAAGGGAATATTCAACCCCCGTGCCAAGCACTTGTGCAGAGGGTGGAGGGCTCTTCAGTACAAGTGCAACTTTCTGGGTCACTTCTTCAGCCTGAAAAAACTGTATTAACAACTATTAGAAATCCATCCACCCGTTAGGGATGTTCCATATCAGGTCATTGATTCCTTGTGTAACCTGCATGAAATCTTTGCAGTTACATGACTATTCAACAGTCCCCAGAGGGACTGGCAACCAGTGCGCTCCTGGCCCCACTCCTGGCAGTCCCCTGCCAATCCATGCTGCTGCCTCTGTATCAGAGGCAGGAGCGTGGGGGG